CAAAAAATCATCATAAATTAACGAAGTGTCAGAACAACACCAAAATCAGTTTGCATAGGTTTCAGGAGGTGGACTAACCATTGCAATCATTTAAAACAGCTTCCAAACATCGTAAGACACTTTTACAGGAGCGAAAAAGGACTTCGCAAAGGCATTGAAATGTATTGAGTCGGCTTCAATACATTCCAATATAGGAAACATTGTTTCACTCAATGATGTTTCCTATGGGGATTTTCACTGAACGATGGCAATCCGTTCCAATTGGAACAGATTAACCGGTTTTCAATGCATTCCTATGAGAAATGGTGTTTCACAGAACGACGTTTCACACGTTGATTTTTTTGGAACCAATTAACATCGTTGTGTGAGGCACCACTGTATGTGTCTTCAGTGTGGAAGGGATTGTCACTCTCAAATTGGCCTTTTTAGCCACGCTAGACACCGTTCCAAGTCCTCCATACAGAGCACGTTACCAGTCTCTCGAGACTGAAGGATGTGTAATCATCTAATCTTAGAAATCCTCGTATGTGAAATAACTATAGGCTCTCAGAAATATGCTATGTATAAATATTTACATCATATCTCTCTAAGTTGCCACATTTGTCTTTACTATTTTAAAAATTATACGTTACCAAAGACTAACAAGGCTATCTCTTCTAAAATTAAAAACAAAGAAATTAACACAGAAAGCTAGAATACTGTAATCATGTAATACTACAGATGATTCAAAGTAAAACTAAATTCTTCAGAAAACCTGGTTTATGAATTTGGGATGTGCTTCTGTACCCACCAATGGCAGCAATCAAGATGGTCTACAGCAGGAGTCTGTGAACTGGTCCCAGGCAGTGGTCTTGCCAGGACCAGGCCACAAAGAAAAAAATCTGCACTAACCATGCACAGACGCACGGAACACCCACACACTAAACTGGTCCGTGGAGGCAAAAAGGTTGGGGACCACTGGTCTCCAGGATACCCTCTTCTACTCACTCCCATTCACACTTGTTGAAAAACAGCCCTGACAACTGTATTTGGGTAAGAAATTAACTGATGAAAAAAGTAAACTGCAAAATCACATGCTGAAGGGACTGTGAGTTTTGTGGTGTGGTCTGTGGGTGCAAATGGGATCCATGATCTGACAGTGATCTAGGGACTATAACATCAAAAATTCTTATGAAATCATGTAGATTCATGGGTAAACTGCTCATGAGGATAAGATGTAAACATGCTCATGAATTAAACCCAATAAAACGTGCACAAGGCACAAAGGAAAAAAATAATCACAGATTAAATGAGTTTTAAGTATTTATCGTTTTAAGTATTTTCACATGCAGGAGCCAAGGAAGATTGGGCAGGAAGGATGCAGTATTTTGCCTTTCTCTTCCCTGCTTCACTTCTGCTCAAGTCTATCACAGCACCTTATTTGGAAAATGGCGTTTCAAGAATACGCTAATTATAGGAAGCAATCTTATGAATTGCGTTACATTAGAAAAAAGGCAATAAATAAAAAGGGTGGACAAAGATTATAGAATCATTTTATTTTATTATTCACAGATAGTAAAACTTAAGCTCCGGTTTATCTTCCAATAATCTGCCATGTAGGACTGTATCTTTGCCTGGAATGAAAAGAAAAGGTTAAACCCCTGCACTACAAGCCCAAGCAGAATGTATTTTAGACAATGAACAGATCAGACCTTGGATTTTCCATCATGGAATCAGAGAGAGAGTTCAATATTAAGTTATCATCATGTGTCTATTCTCACAAGGACAATTCAAAATTAATGTACAAAAAAGATACTTACCTTATGAAATCAGGCATTACCTAAAAATTAAGGTTTGTCTTAGTATTTTAATTTGAAGCATGAAAATATATAAGTGCAGATTGATAAAAAATATTCTATAAAGATTCTATTCCATAGCAGTCAGTTAAGACAAACTTCAATATAAGCCTCAACTGGTTTCATGAAAAGATGTCTCTTAAAGCTCCATTTTCCTACTCCTGAAAATGTGCAGGGCACATTTTAATTTAGACTGAAGTAGAGAACCTTTGGCCACACAGATGCTATTTGACTCTCAGCAATTCTCAGTCCTAAACAGGGCAGCCAACAGCTGGAGGTCTACAGTTTATCACTCATATTGCCCAAGCTTATTTAGCTGCACCTGTTACAGCCAAGAAAACAATTTAGTACTTCTCTGGAAATGTACAGGATTACAAGGTGCATGGCTCAAAACCAAACTGAAGAGGGTTTCTTAAAAAAATTTTTTTTAAATGGTGGCCATACTAACAATTCTCTCAGAAGTGCACCTGGCTTGTTTCAGCCTTCATTGAGCGTATTATAGAAAGCAATTAGACTAATAGAACATATGAATGTACAACCAGATACATCAGATAGGAGCGAAAGACAGTTCATCACTGTTCCATAAGCTGAACTATGTGATCATCACTGTATCTGCTTTGACATCCCCTTTAAAATCTTTTATTTTTACTACAGCCTTTACTACCTCTGGAAATAAAGTACAGTAATTTACATCTCTAATACTAACTGGGCTACTGCCACTTAAAAATATTTTCAACTAAGGAATGTTACTTACTTTAGAGAACCCGCAAAATCCTTGTTCAATATGATTTCCTAACTGAATCTGTAATGAAATAACAATCTTACAAACAGGTGGCTTTCAAAGGGGAATGGTACATTATAAGCACTATCATTTCTGTACCGTTTCAGTGTAAATTTCTCTTCACTGCCTTTCAGAGAGATTCCCATTGTTATCCACAATATCATCATGAACAGTACAAAGTAGATATAACTATCTGGATAAATTTTACATATGAAACCTGTAAAAGGTTGAATAAGGAAGCTCTGGCCACTGCACAGGTGGTACAAAAGGCTCCAATCAGTAAGGAGGATTGCTCACAAACCCTATTTATTGTGAAATCAGTCTGCTTTTTGTTGGAATCTTTCAAGTGAGACTCTCATTCCTCTCCAGGAAGGGGAAGGAATCATCATACAGAAAAATCTGTTTTGAGGCTATTCTGCATTAGACCACTATAATCTATATTTTATCGGACCTTCAATAAGTTCACAGCAGACTCCAGGGACCCTATCAAGTCAGGCTCTTCCCCAGGAAGGGGGTCAGACCTAGAGTACTGAATAGATGTAGTTGAGTCTTTAGCTAAAGTCTTGGAACATAATACCTTCTCAGCTAGAGGGAGTAGCAAAAGTAATGGTACCTAATGCTATGTTAGCTAATCCTCCAATTAGAATAGCCAAATAAGACATCTCACATACCTCAAAAATCCTGCCAGGGTCACCATAAGTTGGAGGTGTCCTGGCTGTGCATACAAACTCTGTGCAGTTGTAGAGGATAACCTACACTGCTAGCGGGCTCCTTCCTAGAATTATCAAGAAAAGATTACACAACTGTTTTCACTGTCATTTTGACCATTTTAAACATAAAAGGGAGTACAGAAATCAGGGGGAAAATAGGCCTACTGGTATTTCTCTTCAGAAAGGACCAGATGCATATACATTTATGAAGTTATAGCGCTAGGGCCCCACATTTTTATATAGTGATACATGTCACTGTAATTGGACTGCCTCATTGAGACTCATCAATATGCAGTAAATTGGAGAGGAATATTCCTCTATGCAGTTTAAGCATCAGTTGATGTATAAGACCTATAGTTATTTTTTTCCACAGGTTGAACCTACACAAGCAGAGCGAGTGAGCACCTGATTTGTTCTGTACATTCCTGTACTCCTCTAGTTGCTCGCTCAATTCCACAGATGCATTTTAAGTACCTCTTGTCACACTGATATGCTCTGCATAAATTTGCAATGACATAGATCTGTTCACAATTTTTACCACAAAAGCCTCAGGGTAAGGTTTTTCAGAAAGCTGTTCTGTCCACTACTCTTACAACATCATTGGCTTTTTTCAATTAAAATTTTCTGGCTTAGTTTTGATGTATTTTGCATTTTAAAAATTATTCCATGCAGACAAACCACTGCCCCATCTAACACTGCAGTCTACCATACAAAGGCCTCTATGAAGGTGTAGACACCAGGAATGTAACATGCAACTTCATGGATACAAAGCATGAATTCTTACTTCACTGTTGACATGCTGCCTTTCTGGACTATGTTATAAAAGGAGTAAACAAAATATTACTAGCCTAATGCCCCTGTCCAAAATGGATCACATCTCTAACAGTTATCTAAGCATATAGGGTCAGATTTTAATAAAACTTCACTAACCTCTCTCACAAACAACAGGAAGTGTTACAGGAGAATCATCCCCTGGTAAAGAGAAAGAGTTGTTTTAAAGTAACATCACTTCATACATGGTTTTGAAAGACTTAGTATCAAGCTGGTTGTAAATACTTCAGGCAGAAATCTGTTCTGAAGTCTTTGCTGTAATCTACCATTAAGAATCCTGTCCTGCTGATGACTGGACAGGATGAAATTAAACACATGTAATGCTACAGAGTTTATTATACTCAAACAATCATAAATATAAGCTTTGAGCTTAAAAAAAATTTGTGAGCTGGAAATTTACCAACCATTACAAATGTAACCTCAGTAAATGGAACGGAATGGTGTTAATATCACGAGTACTCATCTGGCAGAATCAACTTTCATCATGGGTTACAAGTGTATGCCGAGTAGCCATGAATGAACGTTTCCTACAAGAAAAAAGGATAAAGCAGAAACTCACCATGATTTGGTAGCTGCACTGCCAAAACCTAAGAAAGAATCAAAGAATTAGTTTCTGACTTTATCAATGCACTTGTTCAGAAATCAAGCACTCAGAAATGCTTTATTCTCAAAAATGATTCACAGATTTTTCCAGTACAGCTAATCTATGCAAATTTCAGGCCAGACATTTTGCAGCCTGCTGGTTTCACATTCTGAATAGCCTTGACAGAGATAGTAGCTGTGCATTCTACAGAATACTTTCAAAACCTGAATACCTAGCGCTCTAGTGCTCAAGACCTGCGTACAGTACAGAGGTGCCTCAATTTACGAAATGACAGTAATCCATATTGGAATGGTGGCCTTTGTAAGTCGAAGCAAAATTTCCCATAGGAATGCACTGAAAACGATTAATCTACTCCGGATATTTTTGGTTATGTAGAGACGCCGTTCTTAAAGTCAAAGCATTAGTTCCCATAGGAACTAATGCAAAGCCGGTTAATCTGTACTCTACAACTACAACCACTCTACAACATTTTTCTTCTTTTAATCTAAGATGAACTTAGGTCAAAAAAAAGGGCAGGAAAGGAGGGAGGAAACACTTTCTAAGCAGAACACCTTTTAACTCAAGCACCTTTTAGGTTAAAAAAAGGCGAGGAAAGGAGGGGGGAGGGAACACCTTCTAAACAGAACACCTTTTAACCCAAACACCTTTTAAACAAAACCAAGCACCTTTGAGTCTACAATTTTAAAGCCTGGCTGCACCAACAAGTACCACCGCCCCTCACAGAAAATGTTCTGATTTTAAAACAAAAAGACTTCAGAGTCACATTTTAAACCCACACATTTTAAAACAGAGAGGTCACAGTACAAAACATAGGAACCACAGAATGCAAAAATAAATAAATAAATTTTCCATTTTAAAATTACAGTCTAATTTTCACATTTAATTTTAATTTAATATTACAGTCAACTTTTCACATTTTAAATCCACACTGCAAGACCCATCAGAGCACAGAAACATATCCCCCCTAGCCCTACCCCCACCAAGCTGTAAAAAAACCCTGTACTGTACAGTAAATACAGTGTACTAACCCAGAACAGGCAGGCTGTTTTAAAAAGACAGAATTCCAAAAATAAAAAAAGCAAAAAAGTCCATATAGTACAGTATCAGGCAATATGAAGACTCTCTCCCTATCCTCTCTCTAATTGCTGGGATGAGGTAGCAGACAAGCAGCCTCTTTGCTGGCCAACGGTTAACTGAAAGTTCAAATTTCATACTTTCTCCGCCTCCCCCGTGGTTTTTTCCATCCCTAACATGAAGCTCTGGCCACAAGCAAAGCAATATTTTGCGGCTGAGCTTTTCGTATCTCGAAAATTTTGTTAGTAGGGACGTTCATAAGTTGAGGCACCACTGTATTTTTAGGCTAAGACTTCTGGGTTTCTAGGCAGAAGCAAAGATGGAAGCCCAATTAACGTAAGCAGTAACATACTTACATTATGACCTACACTTAAAGACCTGAGCAAAAAATTGAACCGATGCTTCCACACACCAAGGCAGATGTTTCAATTAATCCATGGCTAGCATTTCTATATCTTTCAAGGGGTTGCCCTTGACGGTTTCATGACAAATGCATTACACTGATGTATTCAGCTGCCTTAACTAGTTGAGGTTGGCTGTCTTTTTCTTTCTAGACTATGCAAGATTCCACTAATAGCCACCTATAGCATCACTCTCTTGACATCATCCACAAGCACCCTTGAGGGGTGACTACAAGCTGAAGAAACATCTAATCACCAGGTAAAGTATTACTTTGACTAATTTGGCTATAATTGGCTTCTACATGGTGAATATTATAACCAACCTTCTAATATTGGTTGCTGTGTCTGTCTGCTTCCCTCCCCAATGCAGAGCCCAAAAGAAACTTTGTTTCAGAAGCAGGCAATGCAAACTCATCTCACACAAAGTGCCTTGGCACAGGCATCTGCCATTAATCTTGGGGACTCTTATCTACAATTCTCCTGCACAGTTCATGAAGGGGCGGTGCTCACCCTGATGAAGTGGAATTTTCTCCACAAGAACTTGCAAATTTTCATTTGTTTAAAAAATGGTTTAATAAAGGTATCATCCTGCTTTTTTGTTTTGTTTAATCCTTCCAAGAAGTCACTGATACTGATATTCTACTTCCTATACTTCACCCATGTAGATTCACTGTAGCAGCTTACCAATACTGGCATTACAATTCCTGAACAGTTGTTCTACATCCTCCTAAGTCCTAGAGGGAAAAAGGCAATATTTTAATGATAGCCCCAAACAAGCTAAATATATGACAGAGAAAGTGCAAGCAGGTATTTAGTCAGGTAGAGCTAATTACAGACCTCCATTATTTAAGTCAGTTTTATAAGCTTCTCATCACACAGGCTGCCTGCATTAAAATAAAGCAACTTGCAGAGACCAGAGTGGTACTATATACACTATCCAATTCACTTTCAGGAAGAACCAGCTAAAGTAATGCAGAATCAAAAGATGTCTGAAGTTTTGCTTAAAATGCCTGACCACTCTTAGAAGAGGCTGCATTGCCTGTATACCTGAATGCAAAGGACCCACGTGGTCAATGAAAGATCCAACTGGCCATCTCCAACCTAAAACATCTCTCCAGTCTCTGCTAGGGCTCAATGCTGCAACTAGAATAAGCCTCCCTGTAGTAACCTTCCCACAACTGAAACTCACCCTTTTCTGCTTCACAACACAGGAATCCAAATTCTTATTACCAAGTTAGCAGTCATGAAGGCCTGTAGGAGACAATAATTACTTTCAGTCTTTCACTGGTCTTTGTCATTAAGAGCTAAAATGATCCACTGTATCAGTGATAGACAGATTATCTCCATTTAAGATCAGTGACCTGATTCATCATCATGTACAGCAGATTAATTTGTCCCTACAATGGCATAGTCCCAAATCAGTAACTCCTAAATTATCTGTTATGCAAAATTCAAGATGAACTGGCAACACTCAACACTTTGTATAAATAAACCTGCTTTGCCTCTGAACAAGAGCTGCTTTATCTCCTTTTAAGACAGGCAAGACAAACCACCTAACATCTGCCAAACCCACTAGATCTTCCCAGGCGGGGCTCCTGTGTAGCAACCCTTAGAGGGGCCTGGAAATATTCTACAAGAGGCAGGACCTTCTCCGCAATGGATCCAAACTTCTGGAACCAACTCCCCGGAGAAATAAAGATTTTTTTTGAGGGACGCCTTTTAGACTGACCCTGGCTGATGGATTACTACCCTTGTTTTGCTATCCCCAGGAAATTGTTTATAGCACAACTGGTTTTTATGTTGTCGTGTGTTTTAGTTTATTGTTAAATCACCCAGAATAATGCTTTTGCACAAATAGAGTGGTATATAAATTGAATTGACTAAATAATTAACACAATATGAGAGAGAATACCAAAGATACAACACATATTCAAAAAGATGTATCAAAGGTATAAAACTTACAAATCTCAACAACAGGTGTCTCTCATATATTTATGGCCAGTTCACTGCTAACTGGCCCAAACTACTAGAATAGCTAAATCAAAAGTGCAGAAGATACCCAAGTGCCTTGTACTGTACTAGGCGGATTTGCCATATTAAATTTTCCATGTCCTTTGAGTACCTCTAACACAGGCTAAACTCAGTTAGTGATGTCTACCATACTTTATATCCCACTGCTAAAGCATTGCAACTGGAGAAATTTGGTTAGAAAACAAAATGGCAATTAGAAGATAGTGCTATCAGCACTAAAACAGCCACCCTCTCCAAACTATAGTGGCTTTCTCTATGAATAATCTGGGAAATAAAAATGTGGAAACTGATGTGTCCATTTGACATACTGTCAAAGTATTTGGAGGGTATGGAGTCAGTGGGTTTCAGAAGAGCCCAGCTTCAGTTTGGTTGTCTTTCCAAGCTGTTCAAATCAACATGATTCAAAAGGGATCCCAGGGAATCACTGCATATTTAACTTTTTTGCAAAACATCTCTTGGTGATCCAAAATAATAATTTATTGTCGTTGTAAGCATATAAATTACAGCCTGTGGTGCAGCAACAGCAAAATCATATTATGCCATGTCCTATTCTTGATGCTAATCAAGTAGAGAACCCATAAATGAAATTTAATTTGGTTATAGTATATATACTTGCGATCAAAATTGTTTCCTAAACGAAATTGTTTTTAATTGTTTATATTTTTGTTACTTAAGTTAATTTAATTTGCGCTTTACTATATTATGTTTAATTGCCCTGTCAATCACCCAGCATGACCACACATCAGATCAGCAATATACAAATTGAATAAATAACTTTTAACCAACAACTTGGAACAATAATTTTAAATGACATCGAGTCTGAGAGTTAAAACTTGTCCATGTTGCTATGCTGACCAACAAAAATACTGACCTGCTAGGGGGAAGCCTTAAGATTTTTAAAATCCATGTTCCAATATTTACCTAACACTGCAATAAAAAGAAAAACAGACACATTGATAGCTGTTAACCAGACAAAGCAGTGCTCACTTTGTGACAAACTCAAATTCCAACAAGGATGCCTCAGACAGGAGCGAAAGACATAATTGTTCATCACAGATTTTCTGCTGAACTATGTTGTCATCACATGCATTCTTGGTTAGCAATAAACTCAGAAATCTAATGTTGCATTTGACGGTAAAAACAGGATCATTCAAGTGTTCACAAAAGTTGCTAATTCAAATACATCCAACTTACAGCAGCCCTAATAAATTCAAAGAATGTGAGACATTTAAGTAGTAATTTTTACCACAGTCAATCCCAAAGTTTCCATGGCTAGGCAGAAATCTATTTAAATCTTGGGAGTCCAAATCCATCCAATTTACTACACCTCACTGGCTCTCATCAGTTACAATTCAACCCCCCCTGAATTTGAATACCTAGCTACAAGCAAAACGTTTGTCTGAATGAGGCCTGTACAGATAATTCATGGAATGCTCTCATCTAGGCAGATTAGAGGTAATGCTCACACATTAATAATCAATACAATAATCTGTTGAACTCTTACCAATATATTTTCCTTCCAGTCAGTGATCCGTTCATGATGCCCTGCAACGAAAACACATTACAAAAGTTGCTCAAAAGCTATGTAAAGATAAAATACCTTTTTAAAACCATATATTGTGCCTCAGTTTGAAACAAGGTGGTTGTGCATTATCATCATTTCACTGATCAAGAGTAGCAAATATATGTCATCATTCTGGCACAAGGTCAGATACTATTTAAGCAGATAGGTGAACATCGCACTTGCAGTATCTAATCTGTTCTTCCAACGAAAATCCAGGTGCATGTACTAGTGAAAGGTACAAAAACAAATACATGTAACATTCCTGAGCCCAGAAATTTGATGCAAAGCTGAATGGAAACCCCACTTCTTTTCCATGAAAATCTAACTCGTCTAACTCAACACTGTTCATTTCAACTGAACTGACTTTAGATGGTTAATGTCAGTTGGTTAATAACGAGGAATCAAAAATATTGGTTATCTGCAGCAAATCACCTAGCACACATAAATCTAGATCCATTTTCTGTCTTTGTCTAAATCAAGCAAGCAAGCTATATTTTTCTATTTGTGAATTTGAAAAAAAGTACCTTTGAAGACAGAGGATGCCTTGACCTTTGAGCCTGCAAAGAAAAGGAATTTTCAGACAGCAAGAACTATGTAAAACAAAACAGGTTCTAAGAACAAAGTCCTGGCTGTGAACTTATCAGTTAAGTGTTAAATGCTTCACTTTAGGCTGGTCAATTTCAGACAGCCACTCTATTCCACCCCACTCCACGTTCTTCCTTTAATTGACTCCATGTTCAATTCTTACTGAGAACACTCAGCTCTCACTGATGCTCCCACTCCCAATTTTCTCCTGAATATATCTGTATTACTATAAACTTTGAAGTTCCAAACTTATGCTGTTCTGCCAACATAATGGACATTCTTGTCATACTTCAGATAAAATGACTGAACTCATTTAAGTTTCTACTCCACCCCTGCAGCAGGCTATTCATTACACAGCATATGTGATGTACTCATTCTCAACTGTAAAAAACAAAAACAGAGTATATCTGTAATACTGTCCCACAGAGAGCCATGATCTCCCCGCCATCACCTCACTGATAAAAAACTAATAGATTCTTTAATTCAAATTTCCCCAGGCCCTAGTAGATTCAACTACTTCTGGGCTGCAAGTTAATATTATTAATAATCATAATAGTATACTCTAACAAGAAAAAGACAGGTTTTGTTTTACCGCTGTTACAATATAGAAGCATAGTGTATTACGGAAGTCCTAAGTACTCCAACACTACGGTGCTCACATCAGTTAATAATAATTTTGCACCTTATTTACATTGCTAGTTTAAAAAGTGGCCACTTTTTAAGTCATTTTTTAAAGGCAAGAGTATTACAAGGGAAGTGATTATGGATACACTCAAGCCCCAGTCCTGCTCAGAGATGTTGGTATTCATCATACTCTCAGATGTCCCTACCAACATCATTTCTCATCACACGCAGGTGCAGAAACAACCAATTTCATCTTCACCAAGTCGTCACTGAGAAATCTTCTGCAGAAATATAGAGTTCTATTGTCTACATAGAAGCTCCCCCCCCCTTTTCTGGGGCAACTAACACACGAGGAGTCTTCCTTCCTCACCCTCCGAACCCAGGCAGGCTCTTCACTCTCCGGTTGTTTTGTATGCTTGCTGGCAGGAAGGACAGCATCTCCGCTGCACTCCATGCTACTCGTTACTTGCCCTAGGTTGTTTACTGAAAAAACCGCCCACCGTTGAGAGACTTTCGGGTCTCCTCGATCCTAGAAAAACCCGTTATTGTGCCATCAGCACTTCGGGTGCCAAGGGGAAAACGCTTGCCACCCCTACAGACCAGACCGCATCAGCCTTCCCAAATAAAGTACAATTTGCTTGTCTTCTTTTCCAAAACTACTTCATATATGAAAAAAGTAAATTCATGCGTGTTTAAGGGGCATTTCAAGCTACTCCTGTTTTAATTCAACGAACGTTACCACCAAGACCCGAGGCAAGGCCTTTCTGCAACCGCCACAAAGGACTCTAGGAGGCTGTAGTTTCACTCTCGCTAAAGCCTAGCTCGGGCTGCAGATCTAAGGCTTTTTTCCTCACCCCCAACACCCCAAAAAAGACTTCCTTGCCCTAACATCTAGCCCGCCTAATGGTGGCAACTAATTCTGAACCTTGCCTAGGGCGCCTGCTTCAATCCTTGGAAGGGGTGAGCAATACCGGTAGTGGCTTTAAAAAAAACAGCAGTCCAGGTACTTAAGAAGGCGGAATAACTGCTCCGGCCTTCTTCCCCCCGCGTGTGAAATGCAAGATGGTTGATCGATAAGGCCCGAGAGAGCTAGCTACCCATGAGCTCCTTGAGCGCCATCTTCTCGCATCGACCGCACGAAAGAAACAGAGGAGAGGCCCAGCAAAATCCGCTTCCATCCGTCATCCCTCCAAAACGTCCCGGTTAAGAAACCGTCCGAAAAGCCCCGACGCTCTGCACAAACACCAACCGGGCCGCCAGTAGTCAGAAGGGGCGCCTCACCAGGGAGCCCCGCGACTTACCGTAGCTCGCCCAAACAACCACCCGCACAGACAGCATGGCCGTAAAAGAAAGAACAAGGCGCCGCCTCCGGGGTTTTATAGGTACGTCGGCGCTATGGAATCACGTGACGGCGTAGCGTCTTGTTTGCATATCTCCACCCTCGGCCCGCCCCGCCCCGCCCCCAGGCGAAATTGTTCCCGCCCACGAAAGTGCGGCCGATGGTCGCGGGGCGTAGGTTCCCTCCTCCCTCGCCCTCCCCGCGGTGTGTTCTTTGCTTTGGGTGGGGCTACCTGACGCAAAAAAATGTTTCGCCAGGGCAGGGGGAAAAACGAGTCAATCAAGGAAGAAGGGGGGATGTTCTTCCGGGGTGTGGTTTTTCTGGGGGGTTTCGCTTCCGGAAGGGTGTTCGGGCTCGTCCCACCCCCCCTGGAGGTACGTAAACGGTGTATTTCGGTTCCCTCGGGAAAGGGAAGAAGGCTTCGAGAGCTGTTGTCTCTCCTGTCTTCTCTCCCCGCCCCCGCCGCTAGCAGGTGAACCCGAGGAGAGCCTTTCTTGGGTAGCTTGAAGTACCCCTAAAATAAGGGGGTGGCTTCTACTTGCCCCCCCAATTTCTGCCCTTTTTATTTGCCCCAGATTGTTATGCTGGGAGCGGAGTTTGCCGCTCTTTAAAACGGTTTCTCCATAACCTTTTGTGCCCACCCATCAGCCAAAAGGTTGCCAGTTTTCTTCTAGTTTTGATTCCACTCCCTTCCCCGGTTCCTTCTTACCCCCCCAGTGTTTTAATTGCCCGTATCCTTCGTGTTTCTTAATTGGGAGTGCATTGACACATTGATCTCGTGTGTCAAGAGCTTCGAAAGGTTCGGTATTCATGAAGAGTGCATGCTTCGTGCGATGTGTGCTTTCTGCTCCCTAATTGAAGTGAGGAAGGACTGGGAAGGTGGAGCGTTAAGCGGTAGAATTTGGGAAAGACATGTTACATACTGTCATATACATCCCAATTGTCTTTATATATATATATTGAAATTATTCCAGCAGAGTTCAAAGGAATCTGCTGCCAAATACCTGTGCATGGGATTTTAGCTTTTATCTCCTGGCAGTTGAGTGCATCACTTATTGTACTTAAGAAAAACATGACAGGAGTTCATAAAATCAGTCATGTGCAGTGTAAAGTGGATTCGTGAAGGTTTTCATGGAAAGACAGAAAAGCTTCCTTGTCCAGCTTCTTTGGTGGAATTCTTCCCCCGCCCCTCCAAATACAGTGTCCCCTAATTCAACCAGTTGGCATATATGCAGGGCAGCCCACACAAAGCGATTCATCACACCATGTGCAATTTAGAGAATATATTTCTGCAAGATATGGTGATTTTCCTCCCATTAGGTAAATTTAAAGAGGAGAGGACTAATTTGTGGAAGAGTACAGTATTTTTGGTGAAGGCGGAGTTGAAGTCCAAGAACATCTGGAGGGCCACAGTTCGACACCACTGCATCACACCATGTGCAATTAATATAGAGAATATATTTCTGCAAGATATGGTGATTTTCCTCCCATTAGGTAAATTTAAAGAGGAGAGGACTAATTTGTGGAAGAGTACAGTATTTTCTCACCTGCAACAGGCTCAGGCTTAGAACTATGTTACTGAATATGATTTGTGGGAGTAGCTGTAAGGGTCAAAGCATTTTCTGTGTAATGTGGGGGTGCAAAATTTTTGCAGTGAATGGATCTTTGGTTTGATTCAGGTGAGCAGCAAGACCAAAAGAGAATGATGTTTCTTTGAAAGGCTTATGTTTTTTGTTTGAACTTGGCTAACACAATCTGGGCTTGGCATCAGAAAAATTGCACTTCACAATCTTCAGGTAATTCACATGACCCTTGTCACTTGCCTTGGAAGAAGGAAACCAGTGAGTTTTGAAATGTATTGGGTACTGTCAATAAACATAGGCACTTTGAAAAAAGTGTTTCTCCCCTAGATTTTCTACCTGGCCTTAATGCCTCCTTCCTTTTTTTTTTCTCTTGATCTAATTGGGCTTTTCTTATGATTAACTAACAAAGTTAGAGGAATTACCACCTGTTCCCATTACAAAGATTCTGGTTATCTGTGTTTGCAGCTAAGTAAGTGAGCTATCTGGCTGTGGAACCGGAATTTGGGAGATCAATTCATCACTGTGGGTACCAGAAAAAGATCCCCAGCCTATCTAGTTTTTCACAGAGGCTTTCACGGCTGGGATCTAATGGTGGTTGTGGGTTTTTCAGGCTCTTTGGCCGTGTTCTGAAAGTTGTTCCTCCTGACATTTTGCCAGTCTTGTGGTCGGCATTTTCAGAGGACTGGAGTAGCAGAGCACAGAGTGCTGCTCCTGTCCTCTGAAGATGCCGGTTACAGAGACTGGTGAAACGTTAGGAAGAACAACCTTCGGAACACGGCCAAAGAGCCCGAAAAACCCACAACAACTATCTAGTTTTTTTGAGCTGCAGAGTCTTAGGGAACCCTCTGAGGAAGGAGATGGTAAACTACTTCTGAATACTCTACCTGGAAAACTCTGGAACAGTTCACCATAAATCATACTAGACTTGATGACACTTCATTATTATCACAGCTAATTTAAAATAGTAGAGATATCATTGATAACAAAGAAAGACCAGCAAGGAAAGGTCCTTCAGTCTGATTGCAGTTTCCAGGAAACAATGATCACGATTACATGCTGTGGATTTGCCAGCTGTTTTAACATAATTTTGCAGGCTATGAGAGATTCTATGTGTGCTTCTGTGGATTGGTTATTTCAGTCTGTATTGCAAATCATGAATGCAGAAGTGGATAGTTGTCATTAATTTATAATTGCCGTTGCTACCTACACTGCTTTTGCATTACTCCGTTGCTGTGTATTAAAAGGGGTTGTGGGGCTGGTTGAATGATATTTTATTCTCTAACAATACTGTTGGACTTTTATTGTGTTTTACACCCACTTCTTTCCCCAGTCATTTTAATAAATGTTTTGCCTATGCTTCCTTGCAGGATAGTACAGTGGTGCCTTGCTTAACGATTACCTTATTAAATGATGAATCTGCTTGACGATGAGGTTTTTGCGATTGCTTTTGCGATTGCAAACCAAATTTTTAATGGGCAAAATTTGCTTCCTGATGATCCGTTCCCTGCTTCGGGAACCGATTCTTCGATTACGACGATCAAAACAGCTGATTGTCAGGTTTCAAAATCGCAGCCCGCTGTGTAAAATGGCTCCCAGCTGTGCTTTAGGACGGATTTTTCGCTGCACAAGCATCGGAAAATGGCCGCCCTGTGGAGGATCTTCGCTGGACACTGAGGTATTTAGGCCATTGGAACGCATTGAGCAGTTTTCAATGTGTTTCAATTGGCTTTTTTATTTCGCTTGACGAGGATTTCGCTCTACACTGGATTTCACTGGAACGGATTATCCTTGTCAAGTGAGGCACCACTGTATCACAAAGTAAATTATCTGTGTGTTTCTGTTCCAGTTTAAATGTAATCTGGTGCAGTTATATCACATAAGCTAGCTCATTGGTCTTCTGGGACGCGGCAGGACTTGCAAGTGGATCATGCATGTTCATTTGCCAAAAGGATACCAAAAGAAAGTGAACCAATTATGTTATTTTTTTATTCAGTACAAACATTGTACTGAATAAGTTCTGGAGATCATGACCCTTTTCTGATTTTTATTCATTGTATGCCTAGCAACCCTGAAAGCTCCAATTTATCTGTCCCGGGACTTCAAGAAATGTGAAGTTGTGAATTTAAACAAACAAATGTGGTTTTAGAGGAAAGAAAGGAATGTTAGTATTTATCAGTCACCTCCAGTTGAGGAAAGGCTGATGTACAACTACTGTTACAAGATAATGATATCCTGTATCATCACATTTATCCATTTTATTAAGATGAGATCTTTCAATCTTAACCGTGTGTTATTTCACATAAGCTAGCTCATTGCTCTTCTGGGAAGCGGCAGGACTTGCAAGTGGATCATGCATGGGCCATGTTGGGGGAGGGGCAGCATTGTTTATTTTCCTAAAAGAAGTGACAAGACAGAAAGTTGTGATGATAAAGCATATTGGGTGTTTTCCTAAAAGAAGTGACAAGACAGATTGAGAAAGTTGTGATGATAAAGCATATTGGGTTTTTAATACTGGGTTACACGTACAGTACAATTCTTTTTACCATTTAATGACAAGCTAATTAAACTTACTGTTTCAAAGTATAGAAGCCTCAATTGACTTTGTCTCTGCTGAATATAAAACAAAAAAATAAATATAAATAGTAAAATGCTACCAATAAAATATAAATCATCTCACAGAAATTTAAGATCAGATAACTAGTAAAAATAAGTAAAAGCTGTAAAAATATGCAAAAACTAGTAAAAATAAGAGCCACTACTCCGCATTGTCATGCACTGATAAAATAAAGCAGAAACAACAGCAGATGCTATAAAAAGTGACAGATGAAGGGCAAGGTTCCTATTCAAACCCTGCTTGTTACGTATTGTTGCCATAACCTGAACACTTTGTCTGCCTGAACTCCTCCTGGATCGACAAATCATGCTATCCCTCAGAAGTTAACACAAATTCCACAGGTTTTTCAGAGATCATTTCAGCAAGGCTTTGCTTTCAGGATTAGTATAGTTGGTATCATATCCTTTGAAATCAAATACTGTAATTAACCTAATTATATCAAGTGGCATAATTTTACATCAATGGTATTATATTTAGATGGATGTTTTTTAGCTGTTTCTCTGTGTTGTTAAGCAGGTTTCTTATACAGTGCCTAACAATACTGTTGTAGTTCCTTTTTTTGTGCTTCCTGTTTCGTACATCAGTTTGAAAATGAGGTCCACACTTCTAACATCAGAAGGAAATGTCCTGGTTTGGTGTGAAATATACAGTGGACCCTCGACTTACAGACGGCTCGACTTACCGACTTTTCGAGTTACAGACTTCTCTGGCTGCAAAATTTAGATTCGACTTGCAGCTGGAGAATCGACCTACAGACCAGAAAAAAACCAAAATGGAACAAACATAGAATAAAAACTGTTAGCTGTGGGATTAATCAGTTTTCAGTGCATTATAGGTCAATGGAGATTCGACCTACAGCCTTTTCGACTTACAGCCACCGTTCCAATACAGGTTAATTCCTTAAGTAGAGGGTCCACTGTAGTGGTGCCTCACTTGACGAGGATAATTCGTTCCGTTCAAATCACTGTTAAGCGAAATCCTCGTTAAGCGAAATGAAAAAGCCCATTGAAATGCACTGAAAACCGGTTCAGTGTGTTCCAATGTGTGAAATACCTCAGCGTCCAGCATAGGGCGGCCATTTTCTGGTGCCTGTAACACAAAGAATCCGTCCTAAAGCACAGCAGGCAGCCATTTTACACAGAGGACAGCCATTTTGAAACCCAATGATCAGCTGTTTTTGATTGTCGTTAAGCAAAAAATCAGTTCCTGAAGCAGGGAACCGATCAACATTAAGCGAAAAAAGCCCATTCAGTCATCGTTTAGCGATCACAAAAAACTAATAGTCAAGCGATTTCCTTGTCTAACAAGGTAATCGTCAAGCGAGGCACCACTGTATACCTGACAGTGTTTTTAGGGGTCTTTGGCTGTGGAGACTAAGCTATGGGAAGAGTATGGTGTGGAAAAGGGATAGGAAATAACAGTGGTTGTGAAGGAAAGCTGTATTAATCTGTTAAGACTGCCATGGGAATCTTCATTGATTTTCCTGCTTCAGAGAAAGGTTATGGACAAGTGTACAATTTTACTTCCCACTCTCAAAAACTTTAGTTAGTAGCAATGTAAGCATTTTTCTTTATCCACACTATACTTCTTAGGTGCAGTATTTTATTTGCGCATAGCGTCATGTTGTGTGAACATTGGCACCATGTACCACACCCACGCTCTTTTGGTTTTGATCAGATGGCGAGTGGCACCAGATGGGTTGCAGAGACCTGAGTAAATAGGAATAGGAGTAAATATTTGTCCTCTCTAGTCCTAGAACTCCATCAAGGTTTCCTATCTTGTCTAAGTTACATTTATCAGCAGGAAAAGTAGCAGTACTCCCACACTGCGGTTATTATTCTGTGCCATTAAGTGACTTTAGATTTATGGCAAACCTGATGGGGTTACTGAGGTACAGTATATGAGATATTCAAGGAGTGGTTCTACCATCCTCCTGCCTCCCTCCGCCCTGCCCAGTTTCCATTGCCAAGCAGTGATTTGAACTAGGCCCTTTGTGTCCTAGCACAACACATGGTCCACTACACTGGCTCTTGACGCTATGGCTAAAGTGCTGAAAAAAATGCATACATTTGCATTCCTCTCATTGTGCACATTGTTAACAGTCTGAAAGTCATGTAGAGGTTATGGTTGCAGCCTTCATAAGCCTACAAAGACTTGTTTTTCTATCCTTATTAACAGCTGGAAAAAATATTGTTTCTTTTTTATGATGTAACCTGCCTCAGATCCATTTTTAGGGGATAGGTGGGGCAAAAATATTTTAAATATGTAAGTATTCAATTCCCCATAGGACATGGAATAAATAGTTATTATGTGGTTTATGTATATTGGTTACAGTTTATTGTATTGCTACTTTATTGTTTGCTCAGTCTCTACTAACAGATGGCTGCTCATGGTCAGACATTGCAGCCCATTTTCTGTAACCTGAACAGTTATCTGGACTATTACTCTCTTCAGTGTTTTAACACATGCAGTCTGCTAATAATTGCATCTGAACATGCTCTGCTGGAAGAAATGTCACCTGGACAAGAATTATTCTTGTGCACATCTCATTCATACCAAGATACCAGTAGAGGAGATGGTGCAGACAAATAGTATACATTGGTAGTAGCTGGTGAGAATAAATAGTAATTAGTTAGTAAACAAATCTGGGAGGAAGGAAAATCTGGTTACCCACTGTGGTGTAGTTGATAGACTAACAAATTAGCACTCAGGAGACCTGGGTTTGAATCTCCACTTGACCATGGAAATGGCTGCGGCTGATGGGGAGCTTGAATTGATAAAATCAACCCTGTAATACTTCACTTACCTTGAAATCCCATTTACTGTCACTTTAAATCAGTTCCAATTTGATAGTGCATAATACACACACAAGAGGAGAAGGGGACGACCGAGGATGAGATGTTTGGACAGTGTCATTGAAGCTACCAACATGAGTTTGACCCAACTCTGGGAGGCAGTGGAAGACTTTTATGTAATAACTGCTTTTATTCATTGTTGTACCCCTTGTTATAAGCCGCCTAGAGTGGTCTTAATCGACTAGATAGGCGGGATATAAATAGAATAAATAAATAAATAAATAAATAAATAAATAAATAAATAAATAAATAAGACAGGAGGGCCTGGCATGCTCTGGTCCATGGGGTCATGAAGAGTCGGAAACTACTAAACAACAACAACAACA